TAACAAGACCCGCACGATAACCTCCCGCAGGACCGCTGGTGGCCACGCGGTCATTAAAGACGGCCCTGGAAATATCAAGGAGACCCATCAACCTAAACCTGATGATGGCCTCAGGCTCAGTACCACCTGAAAACGGGCCTTCAAGGCCCGCCAATCCGGCGGCCTACCCCAGGGACACACCCCCACGCGTCGACCCGATACGGCGCCTTCATCGCGCCGCTGATTGGCTGATGGCTCCTTGCCTCTCAGGCGGCCCCTTGTGCAGAATTTCTCCCTGTTTCGCCTTTATCCTTTTCAGATTTTCTTCCTTCTCTCTATTTGCCACCTTCCCCGGGTGATCCCATTCTTTCCCCTCCCCCCATAACAAGCCCCGTTCTCTTTCCACCAAGTCCCGCCCCACCTGCCCCGCTTCCTATTGGTCGGCCTTGCCTGACAATCCCGCCCTCCCCTTCTGCCTCCCATAGTAAGGCCAGCGCGCTAGCCATCTGGCAGCAGTACGCTCTGAAGAAAGGCCACAATTACGCTGGCCGAAAACGTCAGCACCAGGACTTCGACGCGGCTTTGTCCCGCATAGCGCCAGCCAACAATGCTTACTCGTGACAGTCATGACAGTGGCGTTGCGCGTTAAGGTTAGTCTACGTACACGGCATGGAAAAGCGAAAGAACGCGATGGCTTGGTTCGTAGCAACTGTCAGACACCGCGGTCTACGTATTGTTAAGGTGTATGCTTCGTTGTCAGTCGCTAAGGCTAGTTAGAGACTAAAGGCCCACTCACAATACAGGACGTAATTCATAAGCCATAATCGCATATTCGTAAAACATTTACAACAAGTCATAGACTAAGTCGATGTCTAACATAAAACGTAGCAAAAAGAAGAGTTTATATCGACTGATGGACATTCTAGTTTACTATTGGTTGGCATGTGAGAATCGATTTCGGTATCCAACTCTGACCATGCCAATATATGGCGTTAGTTCGTCTATCACTTTGCAACTCCTGGTCGATGTCTCAATTTTGATTAACGTACTGTGATTGATTAATTTCTTATGTCTTACTTAACTATGAGCACAGAATATTGCAAGCTTTTAAGTTAACATCTTACGTTGCTATCTTATGGCGAAAACGCATTATGAATTGAGTCCGCTTATGACGTACTCCTAACTTTTATTTAACGCCATGCTTATGTTTGATGTTTGCATGATGTGAATGGGTCTTAACGATTAGCTGCTCGCCGAACGAAACGTGAAAACGCGAAGAAAATTTAAGTAAGTCATTATTTGTAAATAGTAAAAGAGAAGTATTGGACTAGATGCTCTAGAAAAGCAATGGTTACTAATAATTTAGTCTCTGCATTGATTTTTCATTTTCCACAAGTTGAAATACCTAATAGAGGTGGGCGACCGTACTTTCCTTTCGTTTCTTTTTTCAACTTCCTTCCTTTCTTTTTCTTTTATCAACTTCCTTTCTTTTTCCTTTTTTCAACTTCCTTTCCTTTCTTTTTCTTTTTCAAACTTCTTTCCTTTCTTTTTTCTTTTTCACTTCCTTTCCTTTCTTTTTTCTTTTATCAACTTCCTGTCTTGTTCTTTTTTCAACTTCCTTTCCTTTCTTTTTTCTTTTTTCAACCTGTCCTTTCCTTTCTTTTGCGTTTTCAACTTCCTTTCCTTTCTTTTAATCTTTTTTCTATCTTTCTTTTTCATCTTTTTTCTTTCGTTCTTTGCATCTTTTTTCTTTCTTTCGTTTTCATCTTTTTTCTTTCTTTCTTTTTTCATCTTTTTTCTTTCTTTCTTTTTTCATCTTTTTTCTTTATTTCTGCATTCAATATTAGTCCACATTATTTATAATGAAAGTGAATTATCGTCAAATAGTATGTGGTCATGTGTGCTTCACAATTTTAAGGTTAGGGTGGTTTTATCTCGTACCCAAAGAGAAAGTGGTGACAGCACGATTTGTACAGCATAACTTCTATGCCGATGGCCAATACTTCCTGTTGCGATAAATTTCGCAGACGCTTTTTTTATCAATTACTCCAGAATGTTTCCAGTAATTAAATGTATGTTATATTTAATACCATCTGATTCCAAAAACATGTACTAATTGAATAAAAGAAAAAAATATACTTTCACCGTTTAACTCAAAAACCTAGCCCGCGAAAGTTATTCCATAAGAGCTTGTACTAATTAAAACTTGATTAAACAATTAGGCCGGTTTCAATGTTTTTCTTACCATCTTGAACAGAGATTTTGCTTTCATTGTATTTTTTCGGGGTACTCCATCGTAGTCGTTCTATCGAACGTACTACCTTAATCACCCATTTCCCGATTCCTTCGCCGGCGAAAAGGTGGATGCGTTGTCGGCCATTGCATCACGAGCGAAGGCAACTAGAGCCATTCCCTAACTTGCGCGTTTCTCGTAGTTGTTTGTAATGTGCCGAGTAGTAGTGGTTATTTTTAATTTCCTTGTTTCTTTAATTTTCGATTTTTTCAATTGCGAGATACAGCAATCCCAACTAATATGAAATGAAACAATTAAATGTGCCTATCTTCCAAGAAAAACACGAGAAAACCACAGTCCGATATAGAAAAGGGAACTGATTTTATGTCGAAAACTGTTACTATTTGTAGATATTGTAAAGAAAAATAGTCAAATAGCTTTGAAAACTCAAAGATTTAGTCAGACAACATAGTGTACACTTTTAACGTTTGAAAAATTTCCTTTATAATAATTTGTATTGATTTTAAAAGAATACATATTACAATAAAATTTAATTTAGAAAGAAAAACATTGGGAAAAACGCGTCATTTTACGTAATGACCACGGGTGAACGCAGTGCTGTAAGTCGGCCCAACGGAGGGTAACAAAACAGACATGAATATGCAAAACAGTGTACAGGAGAACAATGAGGCTTCATAAAAGGAAGAAGCACGATGGGCGGCTTATTTAGTGATGACAATGTACAAACAAAAAATAAGACATATTTATTTTAATCATAGATTACGAAAAGGCTCACATTGTATCTAAAAGAAAAGGATGGAAAATTCTTGAAGAGAAGGATGTCCCAGCACAAATAATGAAATTATTTAAACGCGTAAGAATACTCAAAGGTACAACCATGCAAATAGGTTGTAGGCAAGGGCTGACTCTCGCCTCTTTCTCTTTCTACGCTAATGATATGACCAGAAAATTGAGAGCAAAGATCGATCACAGAATACAACTGCATCAACTCAAAACATTGTATGCACCAAGCAATACAGACAAAAAACAACAACTAAAAAACCTGCAGATAGCAGAACTTGAAGTAAACAAAAATAGCAGAAGAGTATGGAATGAAAATGTGTGAGAAAAAAACAGAGTATAGTCTTTTGAGACAAAGAATTACAAAGAGTAAAGTTAGTAATTCGTGGGAAAATAATTAAGTAAGTAAAGGCATTTACTTGTTTAATTTGGAGAATGTATTTGGGCAAGAACAAGAGGACATGGAAACAAAATAAATATAATAAACGAGAAGAAAAGAAACTTTAGTGAGGATGTATGAACACAGACGATGCGGAGAATTCACAGAATAACAGCAAAGGCAAGATACATGAATGGATCAGACACCTGAACTATGAGAAATAGACACATACTAAGATCGGAAGCAGCTCAGGTGAGGATTCGAAAATGCCTGGCCAGAGCGCCTACAGACTCGCTGTATATGTACCGAGCGACTACTATGCAGTTTCTAGGTTCTTAACTATTTGTATGCTGTGATACATTTGTCAGAGAATGTTTTCAGTCATTAAATTTATCTCTGCTAAATGAAAATGAGAAAATACTTTACACGCAAAACAATAGCCTTATCCCTTAGGTAAATAAATGAACCATTCTCTTTGTACGATTTTTTTTCGTGACAAATGACTTGCCAAAATTGTATGTGTAAGTCATCTTTCTTCCGTGCCATCCACAATTTTTTAGAAACTGTGGGCTAATTTATCAAAATTATTTTCTTTATTTTCACAAGCAGAAGGTTCTTTTTTCTGCCCAATAATCCCGTAAGATGCTATCGGTTTGTGGCCAAAGACCGGAGTCTTGTGTTCTATTGAGTGTTTTCTGCAATAATAGTTCATCAGATCTTTGTTCTAATTCACGATTTGTTGTTTCCACTTTTTTCTAAAGCATTTTTCTCTGACTCGAAGTTGAAGGGTCATTATTGTGATTTACCGGTACATGATTATAGGTTTATGCACTATAGTCCTGCGACAGTGTAATTGAAGTAATTAATTGGTTTCGGAATTCACTTAATATTTTTTTTGCATATTTTATTTTATTTTCTTACAGTTAGCCCAATCACTTTCAAAACGTCTCATTATAAATGATAGTAATTGATATGTTAACTGGGAAGAGGGGTTAAATCTGAAAACTTAATCCAGTAGACTCTCGCTGACATCACTTTGGAAGACAAATGAATACTTCGGATATTGTGTAGCGTAATCATAACAATTTTTGCATATGTACCGAGCGAGTGGCGGGAGTGAGGAGCGGTAACAGTTAAGTTGAATGTGTACAGAAGTTATTAGTGCGGGTGCTTACTGAAATTAGGCCCCTAATTTAAGAAATGATAATGTGGTTTCGGTTGGACTTGATATATTTCAGAGCGAGTGGCAGGTTAACGTAATACCAAATATGACTTTACGGACGTACGACGCAACTTTATATGTCTGGACAAATAAAATACTTCAACGGCGTTTGTTTTTCGAAGTTTTGAAGCCCCGAAGAGTCCGAGACCGCCGGGTTCGCCAATGCCTTAAATCGCCACCGAAAAAAACTTAAATAATGTTTCAAAATAATGGAGTGTTTTCTTGACAAATAATAAAATAATTGTGTATTGTGCGTGTTTATTGAACGATAAACTTTAAAGTGAAATTTAATTGGGAAGAAAAATGAATACAAATCTTATTTTATGTATTTTCTGTTGATATTTCTTGTACATTATATTGTTAAATTACAAACGAATACGACATACATTTTTTCAGAGATGCCAGGAATTATGGCTCTTCGTAAACGTGCAGCTGAAGATAAGCCATTGAAGTCTGCAAAGATAGTCGGTTGTACACACATCAATGCACAGACAGCTGTGAGTATAACAGATTCGTCAAGTTTCTGAATCATTGTCACCTACAATTTCTCTTGTAAATAAATAGTAAGGATAAAACAATAATACAGTAGGTTGTAATATACATAGTTAAAAAAAAATTATCAAGAAACATTTGTACGTAATTACATGGAAGTATTTTACTGCTGCCGCGAATTTTTCGATTGAGAATTGGCGAGTTTCCACCGAAAAACACGTATTGTGGAGCCCTGGAATCGAAAACGTGGGTAAATCTTGTTCCTGTATGCAGTAAATTACTTCCTCTAACGGCGGTTCCACACATTTGGCATTCGCCGAGCAGCGAGCTCGATCCCGAACACATGCGTGTGCGT